CCTCCCCCTGCCCGGCCCGACCCAGGTCGGCCCCCCCACCCGATCAGGGGCAGGGCCAGCCAGCCAACCACCATGGCCCCTCCCACAAGCCGGTGGCCCCCAACTGGCACCCCCCACCCCATTCAGGGGCAGGGCTGGCTGGCCCACTGCCCACAGCCCCTCCTCATGGCCTATCCCACCCCCAATCGGCCCCCCAACCCAATAGGGGGCGAGGCCCGCCGGCCAATTGCCCATGGCCTCTTCCCCCAGCTGACCTAGCCCTGATCGGGCCCCGATTGGGGTGGGCCAGCCGGCCAACCTCCTGCCATCTCCTCCTCCTGACAGGCCCAGCCCCGATCCGCCCCGATTGGGGCCGGGCCGGCCGAACCCCACCCTTCCACAAATTCGTGCACTGGACCTCTAGTAAGTAAATAAAATACCTTCTGAAAAGAATCTTCATCTGTTATATCATAAACTAAAATAGCTCCATTTGAATCTCTGTAGTAAATTGGACCCAATGCATGGAATCTCTCTTGACCTGCTGTATCCTAAATAAAGAAGCAAATGCTTATTATATCCGAAGAAAAAAAATACATCTGCTATTGCAATTACAGTAAACTTTTGACTAAAAGTTCATGACCACAAAAAGTGGGGCATGAAGTTATAGATAACCACAAAACACTATTACAGAAACTTTTTAAAACTCAAGTTATAATCAATATTTAATGTTTTACTGTTATACAAAGTTTCCATTTCCCTTCCCAACCATCTTCCTCCCCAGCAATCTTCCCACTCCCACTAAAAAAACAGTTCAGTTGCCTCAGGGTCAGAATGACCAAGATGGCATTATAAGCCAGGTATAGGCCTGGCCCTAAATTTAGGCTTCTCACAGAGGGAAGAGACAAGGAAAGAGAGGAAGCACCAGGACCGCCTGCCAACAGGTACCCTACTGCATCACCCTCACCCTTTTCCTCACCAGCCACTCCCTTAGAAGAGTGGAACACAGAGCCACGGGGGGAAAAGGCCAAGCAGCCCTGGCCTGTGTGGCTCAGTTGGTTGAGCATAGTCCTGTACACCGAAGGGACTATGATTGATTCCTGTGTAGGTTCATGTGTAGGAGGTGGCCAATTGAATGTTTTTCTCTCTCCCTCTCCCTTCCTCTCTAAAATAAAAAATTTTTTAAAAACCATTATTTTTTTTAAAAAGCTAAGCAGCTGTCCTATATCTAACATGAGTTAATCCTTACCCAGCTGAAAAGTTATGATAGCAATATTCATGTATATAATTGTATTCAAGATATCATTATTAACCAGATTTTAGAAAAAAATATTTTTAAAAGTTTTGGCTAATCTGGAGTTAATTTAAAAGAAAATTCAAGTTTTCAAATTACTATTCCTTGAGTCAAACGGTTATTAGAGTACCAAGACAGTAGAGGCCTTAACTTTCAAGGTTAACTTACCCATATAGCAAGGTTTACTCTTTTCCCACCAATGTTTAACTTCTTTGTTAAGAATGATGCCTAAGAAAACAGAGATATACATTAAACAATGTTTCATATAAAATAACATTTTTAAACTTAACTATAGATGAACAAATCATCTCAATATGAACCTCAAGTTATCTGGGTGAAAAAATAACCACTGAATATTTATTAATGTTTACTGAGTAAACATTTTCACTGAAGAAAGAAAATTACTTATATTCTAATCTAAAAAAATATGTTTTATAAGCATGTTATAAAAAACACAAAGAAAAAACAGTACTTATTAGTAAATACTTCTTCTTAGTTTTTCCCCTTAAAAAATTTTTAGAGCATTGAATTTGATATAACCTTAACTACTCAATATAGAAAGAGTCTAAGAGATTTCTATGATGAGATAAAACAAATATTTACTGGTAATTTAATGTATGAATACCAATATTACTCAAAAATACTCTTGCAATTATTTTTTTAATATATTTTATTGATTTTAGAGAGGAAGAGGGGGAGAGAGAGAGAGAGAGAGAGAGAGAGAGAGAGAGAAAGAAACACCAATGATGAGAGAGAATCATTGATCGGCTAACTCCTGCATGCCCCCCACTGGGGATTGAGCCCGCAACCCAGGCATGTGCCCTTGGCCGGAGTTGAACCCGGGACCCTTCAGTCCGCAGGCCGACGTTCCATCCACTGAGCCAAACCAGCCAGGGCTGCAATTATTTTATAGTTCAATTATTTTACCTATATCTAATACTTTCCCTAGATACTAATGCCACAGTAATGAAAGGGAACAGTTCCAGCCTTTAAGGAGCTTATGTCTATTGCAGAAATAAAAATGTAGAGAATTAATGGACAAAATTTCCGGTCTGTATGTCACATGTGAAAATTAACACCCTGTTAATTTTAAAATGCTTTTAACCAAGATTTGCTTATAAGTAAATTAATAGGATTTTTGTTGTTGTTGTTGTTGTTAATTCAGTCTCCCCTCCCCCCCAACCCCCCGCGAAAATATATTTTTATTGATTTCAGAGAGGAAGAGGGAGAGAGAGATATAGAAACATCAATGATAAGAGAGAATCATTGATTGGCTGCCTCCTACATGCCCCACACTGGAGATCAAGCCTGCAACCTCCTGATCATAGGTCAACGCTCAAACACTGAGCAACCAGCTGGATGTTTTCACTGTTATTTTTAACAAATTTTATGGAATAGGCCATATGTTAGAAAAAACACTGTAGTAATTTCGCCAACATGAATATTACATGTCTACAACTATAGTCTACCTATTCAAATCCAAGAGTCACTGCTTGTTAACAATGTTCTGCAAATGAATAGCACATGATCACACCGCATCACATGTGGTAATTGGTTCTGTTGTCACATGGTGTGACTTTCTGCAGCAGTTTTAACATGTGCAGTCAGGTGTTCTAATGTGCATTAAACCTCGCTCCAGCCGCGTGTATTTGTTTACTCATAGTGTCTGGTGAATGCACGCATTTAAATTTATCCAGTATAAATTTAAAATTACTGTAATACATATAGAAAACTTTTCTGTGAAATTACAATCATTAATAATACATAGTAATTTCTACTATTGCTAACACTAGCTAACAGTTATGGAATGATTACCCTCTGCCAACTACTATGCTAAGTACCCTTTTATAAAGATTTTTAAACTGATTTTCAGAGAGAGGAAGGGAGAGGGAGAGAGAGAAATATCAATATGAGAGTGACATTGACACTGTACAGCTGCCTCCAGCCTGCCACTATCCAGGATCAAGCTGCAACCTGGGCATGTGCCCTGGCAATCTTTTGGTGCATGGGACGATCCCCAACCAACTAAGCCACACTGGCCAGGGCTGTGCTAAATACTTTTTACAAGATCATTCATAAGGTTCTCCTTTATACAAGTTAGGGAACCCTAATCCTATATAATAAAAGGCTAATATGAAATCGACCAAATGGCAGAATGACCAGTCGCTATGACATGCACTGACCACCAGAGGGCAGACGCTCAACGAAGGAGCTGTCCCCTGGTGGTCAGTGCGCTCCCACAGGGGGAGCGCCGCTCAGCCAGAAACTGGGCTCATGGCTGGTGAGTGCAGCCGCAGTGGCGGGAGCCTCTCCCGCCTCCGTGGCAGCACTAAGGATATCTGACTGCCGGCTTAGGCCCGCTCCCCATGGAGCGGGCCTAAGCTGTCAATTGGACATACCCTGAGGGCTTCCAGACTGCGAGAGGGCACAGGCTAGGCTGAGGGACCCCCCCTACCCACCCAGTGCATGATTTTCGTGCACCGGGCCTCTGGTCTACAAATAAAAATCTCAAAGCCTTATCTTTGTATCCAAGGACCTCCACAATGTGTCTACATCTGTCTTCCTAAGATAGCTTCTAGTATTTCTTTACTTAACTCTTCAACTTACCTGGGCTGTATACAGTCCCTCCAATTGTGTTTTTTCATTAAGTACCCCCTCTATCTTGGGTCTACTATTTTTTTTTAAATATATATTTTATTAATTTTTTACAGAGAGGAAGGGAGAGAGATAGAGAGTTAGAAACATCGATGAGAGAGAAACATCGATCAGCTGCCTCCTGCACATCTCCTACTGGGGATGTGCCCGCAACCCAGGCACATGCCCTTGACCGGAATCGAACCTGGGACCTTTCAGTCCGCAGGCCGACGCTCTATCCACTGAGCCAAACCGGTTTCGGCCTTGGGTCTACTATTTATTCTCTCTCTGAATCGTATACTTTCAACTTCTGTTCTGACCTATACTCTTCTTTCTTGAATTCTTAGGTCTTCTCATACCACCCATACAACCCACAATGAGTCTCTCTATCCTGAAGAATTTTATGAACCCCAATCTTGTAATATACAGCATATACTACCTTATCTTGTGTTATCTTTTCATAGATATAAGTCTTGTGTTAACAAAATCACATATTTTTATTAATTTAACAGTTTGGCAGAGCTTACAATAAAATGGGCAGTGTTCTAAGAACTTTTAATAGTAACTCATTTAATTCTGATAGCACCTTGTGATTTATATATAATTACTAGAGGCCCGATGCACGAAATTCGTGCAAGAGTAGACCTTCCTTCCCCCGGCTGCTGGCACCGGCTTCCCTCTGGCCGCTGGCAGGCACCCGGGACCCAGGCTTCCCTCACAGCCCTGGCTTTGTCCAGAAGGTCATCCAGAAAAATGCCCAGTCTAATTAGCATATTACGCTTTTATTATTATAGACTAGAGGTCCGGTGCATGAAATTCGTGCACGGGGGCGGGGGGGGGGTGTCACCTCAGTCCAGCCTGCACCCTATCCAATCCGGGACCCATCGGACATCCCTCTGACAATTCTGGACTGCTGGCTCCTAATCGCTCACCTGCTTGCCTGCCTGATTGCCCCCAACTGCCCCCTCCCTGCCGGTCTGGTCGCTCATAACTGTCCCCCCCCCACCAGCCTGGTCACCCCTCACTGTCCCCCTGACAGCCTAATCGCCCCCAACTGTCCCCCCTGCCGGCCTGGGCGCCCCAAATTGCACCCCCTCACCGGCCTGGGCGCCCCTAACTGCACCCCCTGCCGGGCGGGGCACCTCTTAATACCCACCCCTGCCAGCGGGGGGCACCCCCAACTGGCCCCTGGTGGGAGGGGCGCCCCCAACTGCGCTTCCTGCCGGGGGTGGGCGCCGCCACATGGGCGGCCTGCCGGCGGGTCAGGGCATGCAG